GATTGACTTGGGCATCCTACGCCACCTCTCGGCCATCCCAGTTGGATGGTAGCGCGGAGCCTTTGAGCTTTGCTTCCAGGGACCTTCGCTTTTTTGTAGCTGAACTCGCCAGGACCAGTTCAGAGAACAACAGGGATGACCTCGACCGAGATCCACCGGTCGAAAGATGGTGTGCCGCAGTGGGATGGGGACTCCGTGAGTTTCCAAGACTATGAAGAACAAGCTCTCCAGTGGGAACAGGGTATCCCATACCACAAAAGATACTTAGCTGGACCCAAACTAGTGGCAGAACTGAGTGGGCCCGCCAGAAGGTATGTGATGGGGAAGAGGCCGCAATGGTTGTCATTCAATGGGGGTGTCCTCCACTTACTACAACACCTCCGAGAATGCTTGGGAAGGCCAACGATCCCCGAAATGACAGAGTACCTGAACAAGTACTTCCGCCATAGTCGAAGACGACGATTTGAGAACATGAACACCTACATCACCCGCAAGGTGGAAGTCTATCATCGAGCCCGACAGTCGCTCGCCCGGGTACAGCAGTTCTTTGGGAAACATCACAGAGATCACCGTGAACATGAGTGGCAGCAGCGCCGTTGGAGCCAATCTTCATGGGATGATTGGCAGGGCACCAACTGGCAACGTCAGCCAGACCAGGAAGAACACGATGAGGAGGAGCAATGGTATGATCCTCCGAGTGAGGCACCGGATGCACCTTCGTGGCACCAGTCACAAACCAGCTATGGCTATGGGTACAACCCCGTGGATGATGAGCCATGGAAGCTGAACACCGATGAGCTCCTGCCGGAGTTTCTTCAAGGCTGGTACTTACTGGCTGACGCCGGTCTTGACAGTACCGAAAAGAACATGATCCAAACAGCAATCCAAGAGGATTTTTCGGTGCAGCGAGTGGCAAAAGAACTGCGGTTGCAGTGGCCTGATGAGGAACTTAAGAAGCGAGACCAACAGGCCAAGCATGCTGGGTTTTGGGCTGATGAGCCGGAGGCTACCAGCCTACCTCCTGAAGCAGACCTACTCGAAGATGCATGGTGGCTTGACGACCTGACTGGGGAAGGTCAGGCCTTGTTCAATGCCGCGGAAGAACGGGCTCAGGAGGCGTTCGCTTTGATTGAGCAAGGACGTCGCACACTCAAAGAAGCCCGAGCACGCCAGCATCAGGTGAAGCTCTCCCGCCAGTACTACAAGACCACCTTTCGACGTGGAGGGGGAGATCCACCTCGTCACGATCGCCACAGCTATGCCCCAAGAGGAGATGGAGCCCAAGGTGTCACTTGCCTGCGTTGTGGCAAAGGACATAGAACCTCAGAGTGTCCTGAGAAGCCTCAGGATCAGAAGAACCAAGGACATGTGACCATTACCGAAGAGGCACCCTTCTTTTGCTTCACCGAGGAGGCCCTGACCGTCAACGGCCTCGACACTGCGCGCACTACCCAGGAAGCCGTTCTTGCTGGCTGTGCAGTGATTGACGGTGGAGCTACAAAGACGTTGGGCAGTGTAGCTGCCATTCAGGCAGTCATGGATCAGAACTTGGGAAAGCACGGCGAAAGCCGCATCCAAGCCGTCGATCCTCAGAACCAACCACAGTTCGGATTCGGAAATGGTTCACAAGACAAGTGCATCTCCACCACTCAGTTGAAGGTGACAGCCAATGACCGGCCTGGCGCACTCCAGATCCATGCTTTGGATCGAGGCCAAGGGCCAATCCTGCTGTCCATTCAGACCCTGCGAGCCTCGAAGGCCGTGATCGACTTTGATGAAGACCTTCTTGTACTGAGAGGCTTGGATGCCACCAAAGTGATCCCCTTAGAGAGGTCAGCCGCGGGACATCAGCTCCTGCCATTGACTGAGGATTTGTTTAAACATGCCCATACCTGCAAAAAGCAGGTACCAAGTCTGCGGGAGTACATCTAGGGACAACTCCTCTCTGATCCTTCGCCTGAGGGAGAAAGGGAGGACATGAGCCATCAGGCAACCCGTGGACAGGATTCACAGTTTTCCAAAGTTGATGAGAAGAGTGTTTGTGGTTGTAGGTTTGAGAGAGATTGTGATTTGATATTGGGGGGGCCGTGGTAGTTTGGTTGAAACGTCTTCGTTAAACAACAATTCTTTTGAAGGGACACACACAAGACCGAGCAGCAGCGAGAGCCCAAGCCTATTTGGTGTGAACGTATCGTCGCCGACGTCCGAGCCTCAGCCTCACCATGGTCAGCCAGATGAAACGCGCCGACCTGATCGCAGCCCTCGAAGAGCTGGGGGAATCTCCTCCAGGACGCTGGACTGTGACAGAGATGCGCAGCCGACTGATGCACCTGCACGAGGAACATGGCATCGTGCTGGGCAAGACCAAGCGCACCTCACTTCAGGAAATGGTGGTTCAGCTGAACAAGGCCAGTGGTCGAAAGGCCAACCTCCAACAACACTGCCAGGACTTGGGAGTGCCCTTCACGGGCAACGAGACCAAGGCCCAACTCCAGAAGTCCGCCATGATCCGCATCTACGAGAAGAGTGCCCCGGACCCTACCGACCCGGTGGGATTTGGGAAGGGAGCATCCCTCACCTATGCCGAAATCAAGGAGGATCAGCAGTACTGCAACTGGGTGAAGCTCACATGGCAGGAGAACCCAAAATCCTGCTGCCCTCAGCTGGCACGCCTTGCCCAGTGGCTGTTGAACGAGAATGTCAAGATGGAACCGGACGAGAACCCCAAGACCTCAAAGGGTTACCCGAGCGAGCCCGACCTGAAGGTCATCTCTCTCAAGAAAGAACCATCACGTGCCGCCAGCAGCAGCGCTGCCAGCAGCAGTGTGCCCTCCTCAGCGATTGTCGATGTTCTCCAGACCTTGACCGAGACGGTGAAGGAGCTGAAGGACGAGATCCAAGATGCCAAGGAAGGGAAGCGCAAGGGTCAGAAGACCAGCTCGGACTCCGAGAGTTTCCACAAGATCTGAGCGCACCCGGCTTAGACCTCAGCCCGGAACCTAGCATAGCTTCCGTCACTGAGCCTAGCACAGTACGACATGTGTTGCCAGAGGACACTGCTAAACAGTTAGAGCGAGATTCACATGGTTTTGCTCCGAAGTTGTTTCAAGATCTTTTTCAACAAAAACGAACTGTTTTGATGGAAGTGGCCTGCAGTCCCAATAGTGTTTTGAGCTCAGAAGTCCAACGACAGTTGGGCTATTCGGAAGCCGCCGTTCGCTGTTCGATATGGAACGGGTGTGACTTAACCCAGAGTGATGGAGTGAAACTTGTGACACAACAAATTGACCAATTGCAACCGCTCCACATCTGGATTGCAACGGAATGCGGTCCTTTCTCCCCAATGCAAAACCGGAACCAACGCACGGAAGCTCAACGAGCTGAACTTGAGAAAAAGAGAAAGGACGCCTTGAGACAATACATCGGAGCCGCTTGCATTTGGCATTATGCCGTTCAGCGAGGAATCCATGTTTCATGGGAGTGGGCGCATAAATGTCACGCGTGGCGGCTGCCACTGATCCAAGAGTTGACCCGTCGGTATCAACCCTGGTTCTCCACCACCAATGGGTGTCAGGTGAATTTACGGGACCCCAAAACCACGAAACTGATCCATAAGGGCTGGAAGGTGATGACGACCCACCAAAGACTTTCCAAACTTTTGGATTTGCCTTGTAGGTGCCAGAAGGGAACTCACGCCCCCTGTGAAGGACAACTCACTCAACAAAGTGCGTTTTACACCGTCGAGTTCGCGAAGCGCGTGTGTTTGGCGGTGACTCATGAACTGACCCATGCGATGCTGATTCAGGAGATGGAAGGAAATACCTATTTACCTGTTGGTTTTGGTTCTGGGTCTGTTTGTGTTTGTGGCATGTTGGAAAAACATGGGTATAAACAACAGTGCGGGTCATGCATGGAGGTCTCCTTTCTGAAACTCACCCTGAACGAGACGGAAACCGAGCCGAACTGTGAACAGGCTTGGGTCCAAACGCAAACAAAAGGGAACATGGGAAAAGGGAAACCCGACGAACATGTCAAACGACAGTTGTATCAGCTTCATGCCGCTACTGGCCATGGTAGTATTCGACACATGGTTGAGGCTCTGAAGAAACGGGGTGCGCCCGAATATGTGTTGAATTTGGCCCGTGATTTTAGGTGTCATATTTGTGATGAAAGGCATAAGGTGACGCATAAGCATGTCGCTTCGCTCGAGCCCTTGCCGCCCAAGTGGGCAACCGTGAGTGCGGATGGGGGACACTGGATCCACCCTCAAACTGGTGAACATGTTGAATTTGCTTTGATCATTGATGAGGGATCTCAGTTTCGAGTCGGTCGCATCATGTGTCGTGGGAAACACAAAACCATGAAGGCTAGCCATTTTCTGGCCTACCTTCAAGAAGGATGGTGCCAATATTTCGGCGTGCCACAGACACTCAGGCTTGATCCTGCCGGAGCGTTCCGTAGCAACGAAGTTGAACAGTTTTGTGACCGCCATGGAGTGTACTTGGATTTCATCCCAGGAGAAGCACACTGGAAGCTGGGAACATGTGAACAAGCAATTCAGGGAGTGAAAGAACTCATGACCAAGTTGACGCTCGAAGAACCGGAGCTTTCAGCTGAGGCTGCCCTCGCTGAAGCAATTCGAATGTTCAACACAAGAGACTTGGTTCGTGGTTTTTCCCCTATACAACATGCTCTAGGTAGGGCCCCCGATGAGGTAGGACGATGCATACAGACATTGACTGGACAATCCATCGAACATCTCCTACCACCAGCAGGACCAGACCATGTGGAGAGCATTGACCGCATGCGCAAAGCAGAGCAAATACATGCACAATGGACAGCGCAGCAGAGGATCAACAAAGCACTCAACTCAAGAGGCAACCGACAGTTGAACTACTACCCTGGAGATCTGGTGTATTACTGGAGGAAACAGGTGTCAGGTAGTCATTCAGGTCAACAACGACAGAAACAAGGATGCTTCTTGGGACCCGGTCGAATTTTGGCCACAGAAACTCATCGAGAAACTGATGGTACACTTCGAAAGGGAAGCAACATCTGGGTGATTCGAGGACGACGTCTTATCAAGTGTTGTCCAGAACAGTTGAGACATGCGACACAGAGAGAAGAGCTTTTAGAACATCTTACACAGGAAGAAGACCTCAAAGCACCCTGGACATTCCAGCGACTGACAGCAGGACTAGGTGGCAATGAGTTTGAAGACATCACACAGGAGGTGCCCACAGAGACTCAGTGGCAAGAGGACCAAGACGAGCCCATGCCACCAGCCCCTCGTGAGGCGGGACAACCTAGATACCGTGTCCTGGGCAAACGTATCGGAGAAGGACCAGAACGAGCTCTTCCAGAACCAACACGACAGAAACGGGGAGGAGCTCAACTGGAAGATGCGTTAGTGACTCAGGAACCATGGTATGAAAAGACAGCCACAGAAAGTCGTCTCGAAGCTCACGGAGAGTGTTTTTGGGCCGAGGACAACACCGCTGTGGAGATGGACATACAACTTCCACAAAGCAAACGGCAGTGGCAAGAGTTCATACAAGACCCAGGCTGCTATTTTGTTGGCGCCCTCAAACGAAGGGCAGTTGAGGTCAATGAAAAGAAGTTGACAAAAGAAGATTGGGAAAAGTTCCAAGAAGCCAAAGGAGTGGAAGTGAAGAACTATATAGCAGCCCGTGCCTTTGAAGCCCTTCCCCCAGACATGAGACCACCGCGGGAGAAGGCCATCAAGATGAGATGGTTATTGACGTGGAAGTTGAAAGACGATGGTACACACAAAGCAAAAGCCCGGGCAATACTCCTGGGATACCAAGACCCCGGTTATGAAGAGCGTGAGACAACATCACCCGTGATGACCCGACAATCCCGACAGTTCCTGTTAGCAGCAGCAGGTCGCTATGGATGGCAGGTAAAAAAGGGAGATGTGACAGGTGCTTTTTTACAAGGAAGAACCTATCCCCAAGAGCTCTACTGCATTCCGGTACCGGAAATATGTGGTGCCATGGGATTGGAGGAAAACAGTGTCACTCGTGTACGTCGAGGATGTTACGGATTAGTTGATGCACCACTGGAATGGTACAGGACAGTGAGCGCATTTTTAGACTCCCTGGGATTGGTTAAGTCATGGGCAGACCCATGTACCTGGCTCTGGAAACCTGAAGGTGTTCTTCAAGGAATGATCTCAGGCCATGTGGACGATTTTCTATTCGCTGGACCACAGCAGGACAAAGCATGGCAGCAACTGGAAGCAACCATACAACAACACTTCAAATGGACAGATTGGGAGGAAAACAAGTTTGTTCAACGTGGAGTATTGGTTGAGCGCCAGTCTGACGGATCCTTCCACTTGAGCCAAAAAGCCTATGTTGAGAAGATCCCAGAGATTTTTCTGAATGCAACCAGGAAAAAGGAACTCACCAGTGAAACTACAGAACGTGAGAAGTCACAACTGCGTGCCACACTGGGAGCCTTGAGCTGGATGGCCCAGCAAACTGCACCACATGTGTCCGCCGAAGTGGGACTTCTTCTGTCCGAAGTATGTCGAAGTACAGTGGAAACCATTGTCAAGACCAATCAGCTTGTGCATTTTGCCAAAGCACACAAAGACCATAGACTGGTCATACATGCAATTCCAGCCCACATTCCAGTGGGTATGTTTACATGGTGCGATGCTACAGGCCAAAACAGACAGGACGGCAGCAGCACCCAGGGACTTTTCGTGTGTTTAGGACCCCTTTCCCTTCTTGACGGTCAGGTTGATAAGGTGATTCCCATTGCTTGGCACTCCAATAAAATTGACAAACAGTGCCGTAGCCCTGGAGCAGCAGAAGGACGTGCTGCAGTGGCTGGAGAAGATCACATGTACCACGCAAGATTTCAATGGGGGGAAATGATGAATGCACAAGTGAACATTTTTGATGTCGACTCGATCGTTCGCAGTGTTCCCGGATGCCTCATATCGGACAGCCGAAACGTCTACGACAAACTTCAAACTACCGAATTGACCATCCGAGGCGCCGAGAAAAAGATAGATTTAGAACTGTTGTGCTTGAAGCATTCTCAACGAGAAACTAAGGTGAACCTGCGCTGGGTTCATAGCGAAGCCCAGTTGGGCAACAGCTTGACTAAGGGAAAAACTAAGGAACTTCAAATGTTCTACAACTTAGGTTTTCGATGGAGATTGGTAACCGATGATCACATGAGAAGTGCTCGGAAACGACGGCTACAAGGTCTTGATGCACTACAAGAACAGCCGCAGCAGAACAGCAAAGAACCACAGTTCAACCCTTCAAAAGAATAGTGTGTTGTGCTGGTTGTTGTTGGTTCCTGGTTCCTTCTTTTCTTCTTCTTGGTTCGGTCGCTCCTTGTTTGGGTGTGTTTCGTGTTTTGTTTAATCAACTTGGAAAACATCTACCGAGGGTAGGGGGGATGCAAGTGACAAGCACTTGAGTCGGTTGAACACCAATTAGGTCCAACCGCCAGTACATTCAGGTTCGAGGAAAACGGCGAGCGTTTTGAGAGACACCGCATAGCCGTGTCAAGTTCGCATTTGTCGCCATCGGTTCCTCCGGATTGACTTGGGCATCCTACGCCACCTCTCGGCCATCCCAGTTGGATGGTAGCGCGGAGCCTTTGAGCTTTGCTTCCAGGGACCTTCGCTTTTTTGTAGCTGAACTCGCCAGGACCAGTTCAGAGAACAACAGGGATGACCTCGACCGAGATCCACCGGTCGAAAGATGGTGTGCCGCAGTGGGATGGGGACTCCGTGAGTTTCCAAGACTATGAAGAACAAGCTCTCCAGTGGGAACAGGGTATCCCATACCACAAAAGATACTTAGCTGGACCCAAACTAGTGGCAGAACTGAGTGGGCCCGCCAGAAGGTATGTGATGGGGAAGAGGCCGCAATGGTTGTCATTCAATGGGGGTGTCCTCCACTTACTACAACACCTCCGAGAATGCTTGGGAAGGCCAACGATCCCCGAAATGACAGAGTACCTGAACAAGTACTTCCGCCATAGTCGAAGACGACGATTTGAGAACATGAACACCTACATCACCCGCAAGGTGGAAGTCTATCATCGAGCCCGACAGTCGCTCGCCCGGGTACAGCAGTTCTTTGGGAAACATCACAGAGATCACCGTGAACATGAGTGGCAGCAGCGCCGTTGGAGCCAATCTTCATGGGATGATTGGCAGGGCACCAACTGGCAACGTCAGCCAGACCAGGAAGAACACGATGAGGAGGAGCAATGGTATGATCCTCCGAGTGAGGCACCGGATGCACCTTCGTGGCACCAGTCACAAACCAGCTATGGCTATGGGTACAACCCCGTGGATGATGAGCCATGGAAGCTGAACACCGATGAGCTCCTGCCGGAGTTTCTTCAAGGCTGGTACTTACTGGCTGACGCCGGTCTTGACAGTACCGAAAAGAACATGATCCAAACAGCAATCCAAGAGGATTTTTCGGTGCAGCGAGTGGCAAAAGAACTGCGGTTGCAGTGGCCTGATGAGGAACTTAAGAAGCGAGACCAACAGGCCAAGCATGCTGGGTTTTGGGCTGATGAGCCGGAGGCTACCAGCCTACCTCCTGAAGCAGACCTACTCGAAGATGCATGGTGGCTTGACGACCTGACTGGGGAAGGTCAGGCCTTGTTCAATGCCGCGGAAGAACGGGCTCAGGAGGCGTTCGCTTTGATTGAGCAAGGACGTCGCACACTCAAAGAAGCCCGAGCACGCCAGCATCAGGTGAAGCTCTCCCGCCAGTACTACAAGACCACCTTTCGACGTGGAGGGGGAGATCCACCTCGTCACGATCGCCACAGCTATGCCCCAAGAGGAGATGGAGCCCAAGGTGTCACTTGCCTGCGTTGTGGCAAAGGACATAGAACCTCAGAGTGTCCTGAGAAGCCTCAGGATCAGAAGAACCAAGGACATGTGACCATTACCGAAGAGGCACCCTTCTTTTGCTTCACCGAGGAGGCCCTGACCGTCAACGGCCTCGACACTGCGCGCACTACCCAGGAAGCCGTTCTTGCTGGCTGTGCAGTGATTGACGGTGGAGCTACAAAGACGTTGGGCAGTGTAGCTGCCATTCAGGCAGTCATGGATCAGAACTTGGGAAAGCACGGCGAAAGCCGCATCCAAGCCGTCGATCCTCAGAACCAACCACAGTTCGGATTCGGAAATGGTTCACAAGACAAGTGCATCTCCACCACTCAGTTGAAGGTGACAGCCAATGACCGGCCTGGCGCACTCCAGATCCATGCTTTGGATCGAGGCCAAGGGCCAATCCTGCTGTCCATTCAGACCCTGCGAGCCTCGAAGGCCGTGATCGACTTTGATGAAGACCTTCTTGTACTGAGAGGCTTGGATGCCACCAAAGTGATCCCCTTAGAGAGGTCAGCCGCGGGACATCAGCTCCTGCCATTGACTGAGGATTTGTTTAAACATGCCCATACCTGCAAAAAGCAGGTACCAAGTCTGCGGGAGTACATCTAGGGACAACTCCTCTCTGATCCTTCGCCTGAGGG